CGTGTCTTAAGGTGATGTATCGCCACATTCGAGCCGCTAATTCAGGTGAAATCCAAAGCAGTAGATACCGGACGAGATATTCTTCTCACGCGCACAAGTCCCGATCAGTGAAGACCAGGCTGCTTGTCGGACAGGCCATACGTAATGCCGGGATGCCCTGAGCGTGCGCGATGATGAAGAAAGCTCCTCGGCAGCCAGCGACAGATTTTGTCACCAGGCCCCGCTTAGTCACCCACGCTAAAATGGCGCTACCATCTCTCTCCGACATTTCAATCTTTTCCTACAGCTCCAACATGGAAACCCTCGACAACACGGAGTGGGATGTTCTCATCGTAGGCACTGGCCTGCAGCAGTCTCTTCTCGCTTTGTATGTATCTTGCTCGTCGGCGAGGGTGGACGCGATCTGACTGACGCAGCGCGTGAAGAGCTTTGTCGCGCTCGGACAAGAAGATCCTCCATGTCGACGAGAACGACTACTACGGCGGTGCCGAGGCTGCCTTTAGCTTGCAAGAAGCTGAAGAGTGGGCGCAGCGGATGACTGGTGGTAAGTAAGGATGACGTTGAATCGCCGAGCTGTCGCTAACGCATCCTAGAAACAGCGAATGCTGCCTTCTCCAACGTCGCCGTCACCAAGCCTGAGGCTACTGGTTCAGGCCCCGCGCTATCCTTCTCGAGGGCATACAGCCTGTCTCTAAGCCCCCAGGTCATCTACGCGCGCTCCTCGCTGCTTGGCTACCTAGTCTCGTCTCGGGTCTACCGTCAACTCGAGTTTCTTGCTGTCGGTACCTGGTGGGTATACTCTGCCGATGCACAGGGCGAAAGCTCGTCATCGCATGGAAGACTGCTGAAGGTGCCCAACGGCCGCGAGGATGTCTTTCAGGATCACGACCTCGACTTCAAAGCCAAGCGCGCTTTGATGAAGTTCTTGCGCTTCATCAGCGAGTACGAGGACCAGACCGAAGTTTGGGAGGAGCACCGTCAGCAGCCCTTCTCGAGCTTCTTGTCGGAGCAGTTCAAGGTTCCAGCCAGTCTGCAAGGGCCGCTGATGGCTCTGACGCTCTCGCCCACCGGGGCAGACCGTACTACCACCGAATACGCGCTACCGAGAATCGCGAGGCATCTACATTCGATCGGAGTATTCGGTGCTGGTTTTGGCGCCGTCATACCGAAGTGGGGTGGTCTATCAGAGATTAGCCAGGTCTCGTGTCGAGCCTGTGCTGTGGGTGGTGGTGTCTATGTCCTTGGAAAAGGCGTAACTCCACCCACTGACAGCGCCCCGGAGACAACCGAGAATGGTACAAAGCTTCGCCTGAAAGATGGCGAAGTTGTCACCGCGAAGTGGATCGTAGGAGGAAACTCCTCATCTGCTTCTGAGGATACATACTACAAGTCGATGACCATTGTGTCATCCTCGTTGTCGCATTTATTCCCTCCCATCGCCGAGGAAGCACCAGCACCAGCCGCTGCTGTCGTTGTCTTCCCGCCCGGATCCTTGACGTTGGAGTCGCAAGCTGAAGAGCTTCCGCCAGTTCACGTCTTTGTGCATTCGAGCGACACTGGCGAATGCCCCTCTGGTCAATGTAAGTTTTCTCTATCACTTCAACCCTACGCTGTTATGATGAACAAACCTTACGAATACTTATCTACATTGTCTGAATACCATTGAAGACAATAACTCTGACAACCTGATACAACGGCACATCCTCTACATTGTCAATGCATGGTTTTCTAGCGTCATGTTGCTGACTATACCTCAGGTGTACTATACGCGTCGACATCGATGAGCGGTCGAGATGGGTTTGCCCTGCTTCAGAAAGCTGTAGACTCGCTGTTGTCTGCTCATGACGTCTCGCCATCTCCTACCATACTATGGTCTGTCGAATACCAGCAGCAAGCGTCATCCGGATCGGAGACCTTACCGACCGATACCGACCATGTTGTTCGCTTCCCACCTCCGTCTATGGATCTCGCCTTCGATGACGCAGTGCTTGACAATGTCAAAGAGGTGTGGCAGAAGATTGTAGGCGATGATGCAGGCGAGTTCCTGGTCTTCCAAGACCGAGAAGTATATGATGATGACGAGTAATGATCTGATATGTAATGAATCAATGAATACATGATACCACCACATCTTCTGCACATTCTTCGAGACGATCGATGGAGTGCAAGTGCAACCAAGAACAAGTGATCGAGCAAAGGGGATATCGAATGAAAGAACCTATGTTCCATGTTGAACCCGTGCGATCTCACCAAACCCTATAGCGGCCCTTGACCATTAATGTTTCTTTCTATCATGCAATCTTGGGCGTTTCGTCCGCCTTTCCATTACATCTCCCGTCAGAATACACCGCAAACACCCGTTGTCTCTAGATAACCAGCCCCCAATCCCGCCATTGACATCCAGCAACTTCCGGGTAAGATCGTTCCCCTCAGGTCATTCACCTCCCCTACATACACGCGACAGAGTGAAGTCTCCTCAATCCATTCCCCCGACCTCCCCTTCCGGCTCTGAGTCTCTCTCTGCTGAAGGTAGACGTGTGTTGACAGGAGCAAAAGCCGCCTCGCCCGTTTCCTCCTGCGGCCGCCTACGTCCCGCGACCTGGCTTAGTGTTGTCCAGCTAGTCGTAGTGGTAAGCGACTGCGGCGGCGTCACAGTGCTCTGTAACGTCGTGATTGAAGTAACTCGCACCACTCCTCCGCCCGGTATGATTGTAATAATGAACGTACTACCTGACTCGGCGGTGGACGTGGACGTGGGCTTGGGCGGTGTAGGTGTGGGATGAGGTTGACCGGGCGACAAGATGTCTAGGACATCGTAGATGCTTTGTAAGGCTGGTGAGATAGACCGAGGAATTGCGGGCGATGGTCTTGTTGTGAGTGTTGTCGCCGAGCTTCCGCTTTGTGATAGAGCGATAGTGAGGATGGGTAGCCAGAGGGCGAACAGCAGGCTTGTGATGTGCATGTTGGTCGTGGTGCGCTGTCTGAGATGCGTGGACGCGACGTGGTTGAAGTAGATAGGTGACTAAGTAGGGTGGTGGTGGGGGGTCGTGACCGGATGAGCGATTGAGTGAGTTCGTGGAAGTGAAGGGAAAGTGGTCAGAGAGTGACTGACAAACGGGCGAGTGGGTCGTGAGTCAATTTGGTATCAGAGCTAATTCCTGATATTTACGCCACACAAGTCGCCTTTGTGAGGAGTGCTCTAAGCAATGTAATCGTGTGGCGTATACAATAAGGCGCGTGCGGCGGTGTGGTATTGACGGGCGATAGACACGATCAAACAAAGACCTGGACGGTCCTGCAAATGGTCTTGAGGGACGAGAAACATATCACGAGAAAGTGGAAATACTTGTTTTGTCATTTCTGATGTTCGATGTGGTGATTTCATTCCTGAATATACTTCTTAAGACTCCTCAGCCTCTCCATGGCCTGCTCCAGTACGTCATCGTTCTTGCACACGGCGAACCGTAGCCAGTCTTCCACGATATGCGCATTTCCTGGCGTGAAGAACTCAGTTGGAGGGATAGCCGCTACACCAACTTCCTTGATCAGGAACCAACTAAGCTGGAAGTCTCTTGGTCTCTCCGCAACGTGAGGAGGGAACTCATAGTCACTTGGCAACTTGACCTTGGACATGTTGACCAAAACAAAGTATCCGCCTTCGGGATCCGAGTAGGGTAGCCCAAGCTCATTGAAGACAGCGGTGAACTTGTCGATCTTGGCCTTCATCTCTTTCTTCGACTCGTCCCAGAAGTTGTGGGCGTCAGCTTGCTCGAAACCAATTGCTGTGGCTTCCTGAAGCGGCGAGACACTGCTGTAGCAGATTCGTGTGTGGGCTGCACTGACGTACTTGATCAGATGCTCGGGTCCAATCAGCCAGCCTACTCTCCAACCGGTGGCGTAGAAGTTCTTTCCTCCTGAACCGACTGTCAATGTGAGCTTGGCGATCTCTGGTGACAGAGTAGCGACGCGCGTGAAGGGAACGTAGTATAGGCGGTCGTAGACTTCATCTGAGAGGATGATGATGTTGTGCTTGACGCAGAGGTCGCCAATGGCTTGCAGCTCATCCTTGGAAAAGACCTTGCCAATGGGGTTGTGCGGAGAGTTGATGACAATCATGCGCGTCTTGGATGTAATAGCAGCTTCCAGCTCCTTCATGTCCAGGCTCCACTCGGCTGCAGACGTTGTCTTGGTCGCGCCGTCTTTGGGAGGGTGAAGAGGCACGTAGACGACCTTCCCGCCTGGCATCTCGATGTTGCTAATGTACTGGTCGAAGAAGGGCTCGAAGACGATGACCTCGTCTCCCTCCTCCAAGAAGCCCATGAAAGCGCTGAGCATGCCCTCATTTGCGCCTGTGGTGATTGTGACTTCCTTGTCGGGATCTATCGTGCGACCGAAGAAGGGAGAGTAGGCATCGGCAATGGCCTTCTTTAAACGCGGGCGGCCTTTGGTGGGCGAGTACTGGTTGCAGTCTACTTGGTCGAGCGCAGCCTTGGCGGCATCGAGGACGAACTTGGGAGGGTTGTAGCCAAAGAAGCCCTGGCCCATGTTGACGATGGGCTGCACGGGCGAGGCCGCGGCAGCTTCATTGACGATAGACCTGTGGGCGTTAGTTGTTGTCACATACTCTGATCAATTGACCTACCAGACATCCTGCTTCTGGCCCGCGACTCTCTTCGCAGGCTTGAAGGGGTCTTCCCTTCGTGTTGTCGCTGACATGGCTCGGAGAGAGGGACAGCTGGTGGGGCACCTTGGAGCTGCGGATGGTCTCTTGGTTGAGGTTCGGATGGATCTGAGAGCCGGAGTCACGATGCTTCGCATGGCAATGGCATTGGAAGATGAGCAAACCCAGAAGAGTCACGAACTGCAGCGTCTAGCATTGCGTGCTCCCGTCCGTCGTCTGCCGTCATCAAGCGGGGACAAATCCGAAATAGCGCCGGCCTTGCTCGTCGCGTTACCCCAGAATAATTCGCGTCGCGTGCGCCGAGCCACTCATCTTCGACATGGTCGACTGCCCCATCTGCACTAAAGCCGTCAAAGACGCCCGAATCAACGAACACATTGACAGCGGCTGCGAGGAGTTCCTGCTCGAGCCAGAACCTCAAGGCACGCCTAACCTGGGCAAGGCGTATAGCTTCTTTACGCCGGGCGCACGCAAACCTCCGGGCGCGACACAGAAGAATGGACACCCAACCTCGTCACCACCCGCACAGCCAGCACCGCCGACAGCGACACAGCGGATAGAGATATCAAAGACACCCCCGCCAAGCACAAAACGGCCTCTGGAAGAAGCGTCGGATACACAAGCCAATGGCGAGCAAAAATCACCATCTGCCCCGAAACGGGCGCGGAAGCTCAAGGCTGTCGAAGATGCCATGCCACTGGCGGAGCGCATGAGGCCAATGTCATTGGATGATGTATATGGTCAAGAGCTGGTGGGGCCAGGCGGCGTCCTTCGAGGCATGGTCGATGAAGGCAGGCTACCATCAATGGTACTCTGGGGAAGACCTGGAACAGGTACTACTTTCTCTATGTCCTTCGCGATCCAATCGAAGCTAACCCATTCTCTAGGCAAAACCACCATCGCCAGACTCATCGCCAACACGTCCGGCTCGCGCTTTGTCGAGATCAACAGTACAAGCACAAAGTTGGAGGAAGTGCGCAAGATCTTCGCAGAGGCCTTTAGAGACCTGCAGCTGACAGGTCGAAAGACCATCGTCTTCTGCGACGAGCTACATCGCTTCTCAAAGACACAACAAGACGCCTTCCTTGGGCCTGTAGAGTCAGGCACTATAACCCTCATAGCCGCAACAACCGAGAACCCATCATTCAAGGTCATCTCAGCTTTGCTGTCAAGATGTCGGACCTTTACGCTCGACGACCTCAAAGAAGACCACTTGGTACGAATACTCGAGCGCGCCATGGCCGCAGACAACGTCACATCCCCCGTCCTAGACAAGCCGATGCTGGAATACTTCGCCCGCTTCTCTGACGGCGACGCCAGAACAGCCCTGAATCTTCTCGAACTCGCCATGAGCCTTGCGAAGCAGCCTGACATGACCAAAGAGAAGATACAACAGAGTCTCACCAAAACCCTTGTATACGACCGCGCCGGCGACCAACACTACGATACCATATCCGCACTGCACAAGTCGATACGAGGCTCCGATCCCGACGCGGCGTTATACTACTTAGCACGCATGCTCGAGTCTGGCGAGGACCCACGATACATAGCCCGTCGGCTCATCGTTGTCGCATCCGAAGACGTTGGACTCGCAGACAACTCGATGCTGTCCCTTGCGACAGCTACATACTCTGCTTGCGAGAAGATTGGCATGCCAGAGTGCCGCATCAACCTCGCACACGCCGTTACCGCCCTCTCCCTCTCGCCCAAATCAACGCGCGCATACCGGGGTATGAACAACGCCTATGATGCGCTGAGGGAGCCAGGCGTTGCAGCACTACCCATACCGCATCACATACGCAACGCGCCGACCAAGTTGATGAAGGATATGGGCTACGGGGAGGGATACAAATACAACCCACATTACTTAGACGGCAAAGTGAAACAGGAGTACCTACCCGAAGCACTCCGAGGTCGTTCGTTTCTGGAAGATACCGACCTAGGAAGCAAGGTTGATCCAGATCTTGTCGATGACGACGAGCTGATGCCGGAGATTGACTGAGCGCAGCTTTGGATATAGTAGCGGGCAAGAGCTGACTGCATACTTGGCATTGTTTTGGCGTCTTGCATAGCGAATACGATACCCATTACGCGCTTCAATTCGAACGGATCACAAGCCGATAATGCTAATGTTACTTGACATACAAGCCAATCCCGTCTTGCCAAACGGAGAAGCTGACCAAACCACGTTGTGTGTGGTTAGGAAGCGGAAGGCGTTTGCTGACACCCGCGTCATTACCACCTGCACCTTGTGATACGCACCCATTTCATAGCCCAAACACAGTTTCCTTCATTGGTTACTGCATCCTGTGCATCACACGCTGACGCTTCTCACATATCTGAGCACTAAACCTGAACACGACGTGCGGGAATCTGCCGTTTTCTTCATCCAACCAAACTGTTTGCGCAGTGCGTTAACTGGAAATGGACAATACCACCATTGGCATTATCATCTTCTTCCTTATCAGCTCATGGTTTGGACATGTCTTATTACATTGTGTTATCAAGACACCGGCGCAGTATCAGAGACCGAACGTAGATATGAAAGAGACATAGCTTGGGATGTGGTGAAACAGGAGAACACCATTGGAGTTCGAACGTGAACGGTAAGACCGTCTATTTACATCATGAATCACCATCATAGCATACATACTAACAAGCCCCAGGACGACTATGCCAATCAGCGCACAATTCCACAGTCCCTTCAGTCAACCTTCGCATCAATACACCTACCCCTACTTCCTCTTCCTCGCCTTCGCCTTCGCCTTCGCCTTTGTCTTTACGCCACCGCCGCTACCTCTCTTCTGCACAGGCGTCTTCGCACGTGCCATTTCAACACCCGTATCCTTGTTGTTCTCCATCTCTTTCGTACACATGGCACAATACCATTCTTTATTCTTCGGAATCGGCTTGGAGATGCCGATACAACGTCCGTGATACCAACCGATCGGACAAGCGTTGTTATCGCAGCCGATCATTAGACTACCGTCGTCAAGGCCGCCACAGGTGCAGTGAGAGGTTGTATCGACTGGATCTTGAGCTGGGGTTTTGGTCTTGGATTTCGCTGGGGGTTTCGGTTTGGCTGCGGCTTTCGGCTTAGCTGGAGCCTTGGGTTTGACTGGAGCCTCTGGTTTGGGCTGAGTCTCGTTGTCGGCCTTGATCTTGGCTTGCTCTTCTTTCATATCCTTAGCAGCCTGAGTCTCGACTTTAATACGAGCAGACTGGCGGCGAGTGCCTGGGGCAGCTTCTGGTTCGGGAGTTGCGGGAGCGGCACTGTTTGATGCGACTTTTGGTGTAGCTTGGCGTACGACTGCAGTAATAGCTGGAGCAGTAATTGGCTGAGGAGATGGCGGTGCAGACGACTCCAATCTCTCGGGCGCGGATGAAAGGTCGGCAGGTACCGTCGACTCTACACCGCTCAGCTCAAGATCCAAGTCTTCTTCCCTTATAAACCTACCCTGGGCATCTCTCCTCCCCTCTTCGATCTTGTACCGTCGAAGAATCTCTCCCTCCTCCCCTACCATCTCAATCCGCCTCTCGGACACCTTGACTCCACTGGAGCTGCCAATGTACGCCGCCGCCGACTTCTTCATGGCGTGTTTGGCTTCGCCTAGACTACTAAAAGTGACTACCAAGGACCGCTCTGCTCGATCTTCCTCGTCGTAGTTGTCATTAAGATACTCAACACACAGACCGTACTGTACTGGCAAAGCGTCCAGCTCGCTCGCGCGACTCCACTGCTTCACACCATCTGCGTCTTCACCGGCGGGGAAGACTATGTCCATTTCGTAGCGTAGAACGACATGGTTCTTACTATCCAGGATCTCGTAGAGTCGGTTGGTGCTGAGCTCCTTTGTCGCACCCCATTGGACGTTCGCTTCGATTGCTTGGATAGCGTGGTCACGCATGGCCTTTTGGGTGGTCTCGAAGACGGGGGATGCACTGAGGAGCTGGGGTCTGGTGGTGCTTGGTTCTTCGAGGAGGTTGTGGAAATAGACAGCGTAGTGCTTTGTAGACCGTAGGGTCTCCTCGGTGGACGGCCTTTGTGAGTCTAGGCGCGGTCTCTTTGGAGACTCCCGAGGAGGGGAGGAGTTGACTGATGGCTTCCGCTTCAGAGGGGTCGGTGTGGCCGGAGGTAGAGTCATGCTGGACGGGATGGTGTCGGTCTGGAGGATGCGTGGTGGAGCTGTTACTGACGACATGGTCGCGCTGGTCAAGCAGCAGCGAGTTGCGGATCAATTAGTCGCAGTATAGTGTGAGATCCCAGGTTAACGGTCACTGTGCTGTAGAAAGCAATTGGGCAAGATGGGAGCCTAACGGTGATATCGCAAATGTCCGTGCTTTTGTTTTTGCTAGTGAGAAATGTTCCTTTGATGTCGTCGCAGTGAAAGAGGAGAGCAAGCGGCCGGCAGCCATAGCTCATCCCAACTGCTCGTCCGCGACGTAGAGACGCGGAGGATTCGAAGTAGCAAGTGGCGCCACGCAATAATGCGAATTTAGTGTTTAGCATTTTTGTCTCTGACTGTAAGCTGCCTTGGGTATCACTAAATAATTCTTCAAATTTGATGAGTATCCGACGCCCCGACCAATGGATTGTGTACAAATATCAGTTCTAGTCTTATGTGTGATCAGATCGGTAGGCGGACTTAGTGTAAACTAGCAGAAAAAGATGCCAAACCAATGCACGCTTTGTAGTTCCTCATGCCCCAACTGCTACTTCCGCAGCTTTCACATGATCTACTGTAGTTCGTCCCAAACCCTCTTTTGCGTAAAAGTCCATAGGATAGAGGTTCTTTCTGTCCTTGGCCTCGACTCTCCTCACTGCGTCGTCTTCCTCCAACCACGGCGCGTCTCTTACTCCAAGTGTGACAAGCGCCTCATATGGACTTAGCAGTGGCCTGGGAAATGCATAGCCCCAGTCAATGCTCAATCTAGGACACGCGATCTGTACCCAAGCCTCTACATCGGACATCATTGCCAGTTTACCAGGGAAGATCTCAGACATGAGCAGGTTTACACATTTGATGCCTTGGCGCGCCAGCTCGTTTTCGATGAGCGTCAGTGTATGTGGGTTTCCTTGCCGTCCTAGCGAACCGAGGATAACGCCCCATGTGCGAGCTTTACGAGCTGTGAGAATAGCTGTGCGGCGTAAGTCGTATAGTGAATCGTGTTCATAAGTTTCGTGTGTCAGCCTCCGCGAGTATGGGTCATAGCGGTATGCAGGTATATGGGGATTGGCGATCATAGCGCTCTCGAGGTGGAAGCGCCCGTCGCCAAGATATAGTATCATGTCTGGTACTTCCTCCTCTTTGCCTCGCGCATTGAGCTGGCCTGGCTTGATGGCCATCGACGGTGACGTGCATCCTAGAATCTCGCCCTTGGATAGAGGCGCGATCTGTGGCACAAACGGGTTGTATCCTTCCTTCCGTAGTATCGGCACGATGCCGTGTATTGTAGCGTTGAACTGAATGGTACCAACTAACGCGATGGTCTTTCCCACGGGGAAATTCTCGGTGATGGTGTTGATCAGATGTTGGGTATCGATACTGATGGAGACGAAAATGTACAGTGTCGCGATCTTCGTTACAGCTACTGGTATCAGACAGCTGTGCGCGTAGTGTATGAGCAGATCGCATCCCAGCGCTCTTGCAGTGTAATCGTCTATACAGCACGCGCCGTATGTGACATCACCCATTATCAGCGTCGAAGTACCAGGACAGAATCGCGTCAGGATATCGGATATAGTCGTCGCGAACAGCAGGAGACCCTCTGGGAACTGCAGGGCTATCGACTTGGCGCCAGATGTCCGTATGCGGTGTATACATTTGTGGATCTCGAAGCTGTAGTTTGGAGGCAGGAGGGCGATCGCGTGGTTGATCTCCGGGTCGTGGAGGATGTCGTCGGGGATGGCGTTCAAGACACGAGCAGTACGTCGAGGCTGGGCGACTTGAAGGAGTGTTAACTGTCTGCGCTACCAAAAGTCCGTGTATGGGCTCCTCACACCTTGTATCGCGCTGGAATCCTCAATGTTGGCATTGGGATCCGCTTGCTGCTCGCCCGCCTTTTCCGCCGTCTTCCTGCCCACAAAACGTCGCTTCGGCTGTTTCTGCACGGGCACAGCGTCTTCTGGCATGCCCTGCTCGGCATCGGGCCCCAGGTTGGTCGCAGCTCTGTCGTCTTCCATTTTGCGCGTCGATGTCGTGGTTGAGCGCGTCGCGGGGTCGGGTGCAATCATGTGGCGGGGCTCAAGACTTTTTTGGTAGGGCTGAACTCAGGGTCCAAAAGTCGCCTCATCTTTCATTCCCGACACCCCTCCCACGCGTCAACGCGAGAGTAATTATAGACTGTTTTGTTGACGAGCATTGAAAAATCGATGGTTGAGATGGACAGAACTGTTGAATCTACGGCATCCCTATTAACGAGCAAGCTACGCACAAACACCTTCAAGACCAGCGTCTGTCTGAACACAGGAATGTTTGTCATATATTACGTCTCGCCATACATCTAGATGCCATCTAATGTTCTCTGGATCGCCTTGCAGTTTCTGACGTTTCACAGCTTCGCGAAGATCTTATGCATACGCGCCGCGTTACGATCTCCATCCCGTCTGACGACTTCGCCTTCGCCTTCGCCTGGGTTGGTCACTGGGCCGGCGTCTGGCTTGGATACATACGCGACGATGCAGGGAGGCTCGCGCATCGTCACGCACTTGAAGACTTGGATCTTCTTGATGTACATGTTGCCCAGCTGCGCTTTGTGCTGAACCAGCATATATGCGAAACCTTGCATGTTCGGCGTGCCTGGTCACATGTTAGCCAACCCTTCTCAGCCTTTGGTAAGCGAAGAGGCTTGTGTATCACTACTGGACTGCGCAAGTCTTACCCATGAGTGCGTTCATTTCGTCTGTCCCCCGTTCGAACGTCTGCCCTGGAAAATCTTCTGGCTCAATTTTACCTCGAGTGCGCAGTGCTCTCATCGCCACTGCTCTAGTCTCTGGGTTGACGATCAACACAGATATGAAGTAATTTATGTTTTTGACATTCCCCTTGTACCCCTCTATCATGAATTGCCAATCCAGCCACGCCACGTCCGAGAATTGGTTGAGCTTCGGCAGTCCGTCACCGGTAATTGGCGGCGATACTTTGGTCTTGCCTGCTTCCCTGGGACTTGTACGGTCCATGCCCATAATGACGCCGTCCTTGATGTTGAGTGAGAAGGTAAATTCAGCACCTGTGGATCGGTATTGCCTGCCATCAACGTCATATCTTTGATCCTGGAGAGCCGTAATGTATATAGGCGTGAAGTGTTGATAGTTGACGATGTGGTTTTGGCCTCCCTGGTATCTGCTTGCATCTGGGTTGATTCCGAGACTCGCGAGAGCGTCACCGATACCCCATGTCCTATAAAAGTCGAAATAATAATCGTCTACGTGGCTGAGATCATGAAACATCCAGTTCCATCTATGGAGGTCACCAATGGTCTGGTACGGTGATGCTGCCGTGGTACGTCCTGGGTCGTACTGGGGTCCGACTTCGCTGTCGTCGTGGCTCATCGCCCACGAGAGCGTGCATCCCTTTCTCCTGCACCTATCCCAGACCTCATCAGTTGCAGGTTCATTTTGTGGATTCGGAGGAGGCCGATCTGGCAGTCCGGGCGGAGGCCCAGCGGCAGCGACATTCTTGTATGGCGCCTCGAGAATCGTGACATTAGTGGATAGACGAACATCGTTCGAGCAGCTACATGTCAAAGTCAGCGGCAAGACTTTGAATCAAGCAAGACGCTGGTACAAGTACTATCAAAGCCGCCGAGACGGAAAGCGGAATACTTGGAAAATACCTACTCTTGACAGATCTCGCCTGCAACGGCAGCGAAAAAGGCAGCAAGCCTGACGAATTGGCCGATCCGCATAATTTCCAAGTTTGTTGCTGATGAGTGTAAGGTGAGAGAGAGAAACACCCGGGTGGTGCTGGAATCAGAAGCGTACTACGCAAGCGGGATTGAGCTTTTTTTGTGCGTAGCTCCCGCCTTCACCTGCACTGCGCATGGAGTGAAACGAAAGAAGGCGACCTAGATGCGGGCATTTCCCAGAGCTTGCAACACTGGAAAGTGCGCCCTTATCGTGTAACGTCTCCCAGTGATCTCGGCTCACGGGTTGTTCTTTCCTATTTCGCCAACTGAGCAGTTTGTCATACAGATCCATATACACACGCGCCTACCTTCCCCTGGGGCGGCGAGAAGGGCTTTCGATTATCGCTTCGCAATTCTATGAAAAACAGCGACATATACGAAGGCTTCTCCCAACCGAAACGTGAAACATCTGACATATGTCGTTTTATCGTTCATTAGACTGACATTCCATATCTGACTATTAAAATCTTCCAAATTCATCATCCAGCCCTCATGGCAAATGATGCACAGGAATCGATAGGGTATCGTGTAACGCAAAGAACCCCCCATTCGAAGCAAAGAAACAAGCTTGGAACCAGATCAAATGTTCAGTTTACCCCCCAACCAGAAGCCACTAACCCACAACGCTCCCCAAACCGGCTGAAAGAAAGCTCGAAGCACCGCCGGACCAGGACAAATTCCCGTCAAGCCCCAGCCAACACCAAAAGCTGCAGCTCCGACGACGAATCTTCTATCCACATCTTGCGACGTCTTCGTAGGTAGCGAGAACTTGTCGGCGAAGGATGGCGGGTTGGCGAAGCTTTTCATCTGGTTCTCGATCAAGTTGGGTAGGACGCCGAAGAGTATGACCAGAGCGAGTGACGGGTCCCAGTGTTGCAGATCTGGGAAAGAGAAGAAAGCGGCCACCTTTTCGGGGTGTGACATCTGCGAAATGTGAAGACCGAGGGCGAAAAGAAGACCTGAGAAGGACTGCGTCGTAAGGCGTGCAGCAGTATGTGTATCTGCGGGCTGATGTTTGGCGTCCTTGGTTGCGGGCGCGACTGTGACCTGGGCTACGAGTTTGGGTATGGTTCGGGCGGCGAGGGTGCTGAATACGGCAAGCATGAGAAGAGATGCGGTTGTCTCGGTTGACGGATACACAGGCGTGTAGCATGGTGCACTGCCGGGGCACATCGGACTCGATAGGCTTGGATTGGTGAGGTGATGTGTTATGATCGCTGCGGGAAAGAAGGTAGCAACTGCGATTGCTGAGCGTCCACTCAGTCTGGGGAGTCCACACAGCATGTGTCCGGATGTACATCCATTCGACATCTGGCCGTTCGCGTTAGTGGTGAGAGAGTCTAGTACCAAAGGTCTCTTACCTTCGTCCCCCATCCTATCAGAGCACCAATCGCTAGCGTAAACAGAGCACTCTGTGGACTGGTCTGTACAGCAGGATACTCCGTGATCAACTGCGGTGCTAATGCCTTCAACGGAATATAGCTGGTAGCCATGCCCGTGAAGAACGCGAGCAGTTCCTTCGTAGGCGCGGAGAAGAGTCGACGCAGATAGCCGCTGAGTCCCAGGATATCGCCATTCTGATAGAGGAGGTTGCTAGTCGCTTGATGTAGCAGGAAGGCGCCGATGGAGGTCTCGACGGGTGTAAACATCCTCTTGATACCGGTATTTCTGGTTCGTCGGGTCCCGTCCCTTAAAGCATCCCACTCTAGCGAAGGACTCGTCCCGTAACGTGCATCAGCAGAACGAAAGCAGCAAAATCAAAGAAAACCCCTGCCAGCGAAGGACAAACAAGCCGTTTGTAGACCACCACCTCATTATGAAGGACTAGGTCACTAGACCAGATCTTCCCTCGCTAACGGGCCCATGTGCCAATCGCCGTGTAGACATTTTCCCTAGTCGCCGACCTCATGCTGCAAACGTGGACTTAGCCGAGAATGCAATCATCCCGACGATGGATATATCGTGGAGGCGGACTGGTGGCGCTCCGGCAGCAGATACGCATATACCCCTAAATTGACTAGCGTGGGTACTAAGCGTGGCTCGCGCGTGGTAGGCGCGTGGGTCGTCGGCGACGAGAATGCGCCCCAGGGATAGCACATGGGAACTTTACCCGGTTTATGGCTTGCGCGACTGCATGGCGAGGCTTGCGTACTCGCGAACATGATGATGTAGAGTCGACGAGGCGTTTCACGATGTGGGATATCGTATGATTTCTGCGCTGAGGGCAGCGAGTGCGAGTGTCATCGTGCTCGGGGTCTTGGAGGGTAGTCGGCGACCGAAACCTCGCACCGTCGGAATTACCACGGCGTTCCTTCATGATGGAATGAATTACTAACGTGGCCCGCTAGGTCAAGCTGGTGTGTGGGTGTCTAGATGGTTTCCAGAAGGACTCCGTGCGACGGACGGATGCGAGTGCCGGGTGGCGGCTACTGGCGCGAACTTCAACGATGGTCCATCACGGAGGCGACTGACTTCGATTTTTTGTCACTTCTTCCCACGAAGTATTGTATACATTTGTTGAACAGCTTCACCTTGCTGCATATTTCTTGCATACGCGGCCCGCTTATCTCAGATTATTCTCCGTGTCAGATCTGCATGCCGCAGCTACCTCGCCGACCAGAATGCCTGCAATGGGAGCGATACAATGCTTCTCGAAGATGAGCAAACATGCCAAGTACTCAACGGACACCGAAACACCGCACCGCTGCGCCGAAGTGTGCATCTGCTCTGATTGATTGCGTGGTCGGTCTGCAAGCCAGTCGTCTAACGCGCAGCTCAAGATCCTCCTCATTTTTACTCCTCAAACTACTCCTCCAACCACGGCTTCGCCAAGTAAACCCTCAATCCATGTCATCCTACTAGGCCCCCCAGTCCGACCGTTGGCAGCCACTCATGTAACCTCTCCTGGACACATCAATCGCCTGAAGGGTGCATATCCATCTTGATAAAGCAGGAGATCAAATTACATATATCCTGAGTCCTGGCCACCTGCTTAAAGCCTCCAACCCCATCTCACGCAGCCACGCAGCCAGCAATACACCTTTCTGAACTCCCCTCCTTCCCCTCCTCCGCTTCATCTCAAACTCCTTGGTAACCGTGATCCCAACTTTCGCTCTCTCGCCGTATACCTCAGGCCACACATGTATAAACGCGACATACTCCTCGACACCGACCCACCACTTATTATTCTCCCTCATGCTGAACACATCGCCAAAAGCAGTCCGTGCGTGTTCGGGGAGTTCGAAGTGCAGCTTCAAGGACGGGAAGTTCTTATATGCCTTCAGAAAAGGGAGAATGTCGATGTTGGGTGTTGACCACGAGGACTCTCGGACCGTGATGCGTACGCTGCGTAAAGGAAGGATAGGAGGCTGGTCGGGATCAAGGAAGGCGGTGCTGGTTACAAGGGCGTCGAGCGAGATGGACATTGAGTGGTTCTGTCGATAAGTAGCTTCGTATTCTTCTCGTATTTGATGGCAGGTCTGAGTGAGGCCCATATCGTAGCGTTTTATGGTGTTCCATTCTGGAGGTTCGTATAGAATGTCGTCTTTGTTCTCGTAATACAGCACGATCTGGTGTGCGGGCGTGTGCAGGTAGTTCGCGATCGAGGAGAATGATGTGATCTCTGAGTTGATGGGAGGGTCGTGGATTATACGTTCATTAGCAAGGTATGAATATATTTTGTTCCGCAGTTCTATGCTTGTTAGTGATGCGCTTGATCATGACGGTTGATGTGTACTTACCACCGGACAGGGAAAGAAAACCGAGCCTGGGGCTTTCTACCGTGAGATTTTGGAGACCGGCGTTGAGTTCCTGAATTGAAGCGAGAGCATCGGACTTTTGTGGACGAGACATGTTATATGCTAAGCAATTTGCTTGCCTCGATGGGTAGAAGTTTTCAGGGTGGTTTATAGTTAGTAAGACATGCGAGTTGAACTGAAGGTTAGCCACAATTGGATAGCTCTTCACATGCATCAGTTGAGATAGTGGTAGTGAGCATTACTTTCACTACACCTACTTTAGTTACACTAAACACAAGGCCTGCGCGTGCCTCCAATTCACCTTTCAGGATTGGAAAGCTACACGAACCTCTCGATGGAAGGCCCTGTTCCTGTGGAAGCAGATCTTGGTCTTGTACAGATCTGTCTCCACCTTTGATGTAAACACATGACATACCCTCATTCACTGTCGAGCTTCGCTGACGTCGCAGAATCTTCCGGAACTATATGGCCAAAGTGATAGAGGAGCGAACTGTATTTGCCACTATTCCTGTTGAGACCAACGCGTTTACTCCATGTCATTGCTGCGTTGAGATGCTCAGTCTTCTTATAGAAGCTAAGACCCATCCAGCTTTCCGCCCACTCTTTCTTGACCACGATTGTGGTCTTTAGACCTTCAATCGTACAACTGCTAATGGTGATCTGAGAAAGCGAGCTTGCTGCGTAGACATTCCAGCGGGGGTTGCGATGGGTGTTGAGGAGCGAATTGAACAAGCTGTTCTGGCGGAAGTCATTGGTGTCCTCGTTGAGAAAGCGTGCAATCAATCGTGGCGCCCGAGCGATAATTTTGACCAATGGGAGTATATTGACTGAAGGACGCGTTGCTAAAACCCTCGGCCTCAGCAAGATAATACTACCGACCGCATCATCGTAGTTGCCATGTTGTGGATCGACAAACGTGGAGATATACTGATCGACCTGGTAATATGGTATCGCGATAGTGGTAGCTGTAAGGTAGATAGGCAAGAATTCAACGCGGATCTGTCTACAGGTACGTGTGAGACCTAGGAGCACACGATCTTGAGCGATATAGTCGATGTTGTTCTTAGTGAGGCTAGGGTCGTGCGAGAGCTTCACCAGAATGCTCTGCTCAGCTGCATACTCGTATATGTAGTTCCGGATTTCTTCAGATCTGATCAGCAATTGTAAAATCTGGTTCCAAATTCTTGACTCACCCCCAGATAAGTCCAGAAAGCCGATAGCTCGACCTTGACAAGGCGATGCGGGCGTGGGCGCAATAGCTGCGCCAGAGCCACTCTCGGTTTTTTGCATGGTATAAGTGGCTTGTCGTGCAATCATCCCGGAGGCAATGGGCTCCTTCAAGGCAATGGGCTCCTTCAAGTGACTGCGAAGTAGACCGAAGAGATCAGAGAACCGAAGTGAGTGAGAATAGCAAGAGCGGTCTTGGCAAACCACCTGACGCGGAAAGTGGGTCTACAACAAGTGAGGAAAGTGCGTTTGCGTTTGCGCGAGTGAGAGATTCACGTGGAAGCTAAGGATTACAATTCAGAAGATTCCCACGGCAGCAACATTGAGTCCTCTAGCACATTGCACTCATGGTTTGGATGGAACCAAGTAAAGCATACCAGAATCAAGGATAGCGACCCAACCACACCGGAGATATTCGATTAATGTGAAAGATCTACGAGACCGGCTCGGTTCAATCTTGTACCGTAAATCGTTTGCGACGTTTAGTATCTGCGTTAATACAACCGTATCGTCGTCCAATTCGTCTTCGACGTACCATTCGTTCAAGATGCTCAATATACCTCACCAAAGCCTTTTCTCTCGGCGTCCTGCATCTTGTCAATCTCCGTCTCGCCAATCTTTTTCTCTTCCTCCCCGGCTTCCCTATCCTCCTCACTGTTCTCGACGATCATGTTGCCTTTCAACGCTTCCGTGAGGATTGGTTCTCCTTCCTTCTCCTTCGCGAACGCAGCGTCATCGCTGGTGGCATCGCCGTCGCCCAGTCTATCGGTCCTAACGCCGTTACCCATGCCAGATTCCTCTTTCCAGCTCTGCTCTGTCTGTTTGCGCTGCAGTTTGCGTTCTTTGGACTGTCTGCGCTGCGTAGAGCTTGCTCGGAGGAACTTGCGATGTTGTATTTGTTGCATGCCGGGGAAGTAGTCAGAGTCATCAGAGAAACCCTCGCCTGGTGTCTTGTGAGGCTGTAGGTGGCGGAGGACAGCTGCGGTTCTCGGTTGCGCATGGCTACCTGAGCGTGACATGGACGATGTTGCTTCCCCTTCATCACTGCTTGTAGCGTCGTTGGACGCATCGTTTGGAGACGCTGGCGTTGGAGGCATTTCCGGCATGGTGGCACCCTTAGTACTCTGCTTCCGCGAAAGCTTTGCCGGCGACGGCTCGTTGATAATGGGAGCGTGTTCGGTTTGCTGCGCTGCAACTGGGTGGTCCTCCTGTTCGCTTTCTACAGGCTCCATATGTGAGACCGCCGGCGGGGGCAGCTGTTGCGATTGTCCCATGTACTCCATAGTGTTCTTACGCATCGGTCGACGGGGGTAGTTGATCTTGTCATGGTCACATCCGTTGACGCATCCTCCCCATCGGCGCGTGGGTATAGTGGGAGATGCGGTGATGCCTCCCTGGCCCAGTCCAGTCAAAGGTGTGGCCCTACTCGGCGTAGACGACGTGGCGCTTTTTGTCTCTTCCTTCTCCTTCGCAGCACGGCGCTTGAGTTCCGACCATGTTCGTAGCTCGTTCTGGAGAATGTATCGGCCGTTGTTCTCGCTTCGCTTCATAATTATGAATTCGCAGTGGTTAACGTTACGGAGGTCCTCGAAGTACTCGACTGACCAGTGGTACCTAGAGCACGTTAGTTCTGGACTATTGACCCATCGTTATGTGCCTCACCATTTCATGAGGAAGACACGCGACATCAACCCGTGTGTGACTAGTACGCATACACTGGGAAAATTGTCGTCTTGGAAAGATCTCCACAGGCTCTCGTTGAACCCACTGACTCGGTCGTACGCGTCAGCCGCACTCTCGCCATCAGGTATACGGTAGAAGAAGTGCCCATAGTCGGCCCTCTCCTGCCACATGCGCTCCATTTCGGCTGAACATGGCTGGAAGTTGCCAAAGTCCTGTTCGCGTATCCGGGGCTCTTCGAAGACGGTTATCTTGTTGCGGGGAAAGGGCGATGGTGTTGGGTCGTCGGAGGTCAGAGTACGGAGTATGCCTTCGGTCGTCTCGCGCGTGCGACGGTAGGGTGAAGTGAAGAACTGGAGGGTGTCGTCCGGCTTGAGCAGAGACCGTAGCTGTCGTCCTGCTTCCTCTGCCTACAATTATATGAGTTAGTCATGTCCCGTCTTAACTCTGACGAGAAAGTAGGCATACCTGAGTCCAGCCATGCTGGGTCAGTTTCACTCTATGGTCGGGAATGAACTGGTGGATGTCGCGATTCTTGTTTCCCTCTGACTGGGCATGGCGGATCAATATGATCATCTGCGAGGGAGTTAGCCATTGGCCTGGGTGGTATTAATAAAGTGGACCTACGCGGGGTTTCCCCATGGTGAAGAGAGTGGGATGTGTATATGGTGTGGTTTGGAAGGTGATGTACGTGTAGTTGATATTATGCTGTACAGCAAGGTGTCTTCGAGACAAGAGGGGAATATGTACAGCTGTGCAGGGAAAGTGCGATCAAGGGCGTTTCATGTGCAGCTGCAAGCCCAACGATAGCGGCGACTTCGCTGGCGCGAGTGGCTTGTTCCGCCGCCCGTAGCGCCCCCGAGGTGTTCGCCGCAAGTGCTAGCGCGTCATCCCTCGCGACTGTTTCTTGGCCGTCATTCTTCACCACTTTTTCTGCATTGCGCGACAGCACACGTACACACTGCTACTGCCCACGTTATCTTTTTGGGGTCGCATCACTCCGGGCAACCACATACGACGTCATAAACAAATTATAGCCCCCCTGCCAGCTTATCTACTGGCCAGCGCTCCGCATCTACCTCTGTGGACTCACCACAATGTCTGAACCCATCCCCGAATCAATACCAACCTCCGCCGACCCGCGCTCGCAGCGCCCAACGAAGAAGCGCGCGCTTACTCCCCGCTCAGCGCAAGCCTCAGAAGTTGAGGCTCTCTTCGCGAAGCCCGATCGCGATATCTACATCCCAGGCTCCAGCGCACTAGCCAAGTCCTCTCTACCCCCGGAAATCGTCGCCAATGTACAAGGTTCCAGTGCAGGTGCGGGAAGTGGCGAGTTTCACGTCTACAAGGCGAGCCGGAGGCGCGAGTATGAGAGGCTGAGGATGATGGACGAGGAGGTGAAGAAAGAGGAAGACGAAAAGGAGTTCGCCAAGCGAAAAGAGGAGCTGGAAAAGAAAGACAATGAAAAGACGGAGAAGAATCGACTAAAGAGGGAGAAGGCGCGACAGCGGAAAGAGAAAGCCAAGAAGGGTGGAAAGGGCGGAACAGGCAGCGAGAGGGATGGGACACCAGTCGCAGAGGACGGTAAGACGAAGAAGAAGTTAGCGCCGAATGCGAATGTGCCAAAGACTGGCACCGACGAGGACGCAGATGCCAACAACGAAGGCGGGGAGGTCAAGAATGCGGAAGAGATAGGACTAGTCATCGAAGACGATGACTGAGCAGCGTACACACAGTTCGGAAGAATGGTTGCATGAGTGGAACAATAATCATTTTAATTCAGCAAAGCTCCATCAAGAGCTGATGGAGAGACTCTTCACATTTGGGTCAAAAGGTGCGATGACATGGATTTCACACAGATCTGGTGCTAACGCTCAATACAAAAGTCCCCTTACCGTTGTCACGAGCCGTTACACAACCCTCTATCCTATGCGGCCTTCCACAGCAGCCGCGCCTTCTTCATATATCGCCCGTCGACTGTCGTCAGAAGCATTTGCATCAAACATCTGCAATCAGGGCTATGTTGCTTGTCAAGGATTAGCGGCACAACAGGAGAATTATGCAGCTGCGGCCCGGCAAAGTTCACGGCTTTTCCCATGCCAACCAACCACCATCGTTGGCCATCGCAGTACCTTGACGGCTTCATCTGTCTGGTTCACTGGCTCATTGCGACCGCATTTCATCTACTCTCGACAACATCCATATGCTTCTTCTTCATTTACCAATCAAATTTTCTTCGACGAACGGTCGGGACTGCCTACCGGAGTCGAACTCCGATGAGATGCGAGAATGCGGGGAGTTCAGCGCTGCCCCTCATATCAATTTACCTCATGTTCGATCTTGATTAGTCTTTTCGAGTCTCGCCAGTTTTTCTTTTGCTGCCCAAACAATGACGTTGTCGTCAATTGACATACCAGGTGTCTCTGAATACGCCGACTTGCCGATGTCCTCTGAGTTTACGCCTCGGGACCCACAAAAACTGCTCCTGCTAAGTTCTGCATGAGCTCACGACTGACCATCGTGGCGGAGACCCGAGCCGCACTGTACGCCATCGTTGAAGCCTCATAATAACGATTCGACGTTGCTTTGATATTCACAGCCAAAGACTAATCCCGAGATCGGCTAAACAGCCCGGCCGCCTCATCTAGGGAAGACGCGTCCTCGATCTTAGTACCCAAAGTAAACAATCTCGATTTCATCCCCGTCTGGTTGCATGCAGTATCTATCGGCATTTGAGTACCATTGCTTCCATACAGCTCTACCTGCAGGCCTCTTGCAAATCCGATCCAACGAGACATCGGAGACCTCAGGCCACACGCTCAAGATCACCACTACCATTGGATCGTATAGATGAGCTGTTTCAAAACATACCCTCACAGCGGTTGTACAGCCTGTTCCTGCCCTGAATCTAGAGCTTAATTAGACAATGGGCCCGGCCACAAGCAACCGATAAATTGGCCACTGTGCAACTCTCGATAAACACCCTGGCGCGACGCTCTCTACACAACATGTACGCAACGTCATATCCTCTCAACATACTCGATCGGCCCCAAATCTCCGCGAGTGAAAGAATTCTCCGAACTCTGGGCTTTGATAGCCGGGCAAATATGGCGTTGCTGCACCGTTATAGGGGATATTAGGATTCATCAACGTGGGCTTGAGAGCGGAGTAACAGGGAAGGAAGGTAATATACGCTGACGCATGGTAGCCAGGTACGCGTGTGCTCTGGAAGATGTGGAGACTGGGGGTGAGCAGGAGTATAAGAGAACTTCGTGTCAGAAGTTTAAATCGACATCAACGAACAGTTTTCACTTTACTCATTCACTGAACTATACATCCGCACACTATGAAGTTCACCACCGTCCTCCTCATGGCCGCTGGGTACATCTCCCTTACCAAGCCACTTCCTCAACACCCCAACTAACACCCCCCAGCGCCCTCGCCGCCCCCATCGTCGAACGCCAAGCCACTCCCTCAATGCCCGTCGGCATCCCACCCTTCCCCACTGGCCCCCGCCCCACCGGTCCCATGCCAACACCTCCCGGAGGTTTCCCCACGTTCCCTACTGGCGCTCCTCCCTTCCCAACCGGCGGCTTCCCTGGCTTCCCCAGCTTCTCAGGCGGTGCGCCTCCGTTCCCAACTGGTGGCTTCCCCAGCTTCCCAGGTGGCGTTCCTCCCATGCCGACTGGAGGGTTCCCTGGTCGGCCTAGTAGAGGACCAATGCCGAGGCCTACGAGGAGTGTGCCGGGCTTTTGTGAGTAGATTGTGTTTTTGAAGAGTGTTGGGTTTGTTGCTGATCGTTTGTAGCGCCTATGCCTATGCCTACGCCTGTTGGGCCTCCGGCGTAGATGATTGGAGAGGAGTTGGGATGGAGGATTAGGGTAGTGTTTCAAGCCTGGCGGAGGAATGTGTTGAATTCTGTTGTATATAGTTCGAATGGAATATGATTGCGAATGATCTCATAGCAAGACGCAATCTTTTGTCAGCGTGAGCGTGTGGTGATTACTCCAATTCAACATCTTCAACTGTCCATTTGCCGACTTTATCTCCAGGCTGCATCTTGCTTGAGACTTGGGTGACATCTTCGTGCTCGTACAGCGCAGGTACTCTGACCGGGCATATATGCCAATACCTCCCACTAGGCTGTCTTCGCACAACAACCAGTTGGGGACACCCAAGCACTAACCAAGTCTCATCCCCTTCTCTTATGTTACACTCCGGTACTCGGCCAAAGTATCCTTCGTTGGTTACGATACAATATCGCCCGCGCAATACTCGTAAAACATGTCGAAGCGCAGACCAAGCGGAAGGGTTACTGTTCTCAAGAGGAGCCAACAGATCCAATACGTCCTCTCCTGCCCAGCCGAAGTCTCGGCCTGCCTTCTCTGGGGCTTTACTAAGTTCTAGGAAATACAATAGTCCAGCTCTAATACAACCATGATCGTGCTTTCGGCCATCTACTTCCTCATTGATAGTACGAGAGAGTTCCTGTGACAACACAGTGCTGGCGTCCTCCAGACATAACTGTAAATATTCGCCGAGCGAAGATGCCCAGAACTCAGACACTGTTGTGTACAGAGATGTACTAGAGGTAAAGCATCGCCGTACCCAGCCTAGTTTCATGCCTCGGATGCTCAATCGCAGATTCTTGATATCGACAGCGTTTGTAGGACATTCGGTGTGTCTCATTCCGCCACCATGAACTGCTTCTGAATCATCAAAATCTTCTAAATAAAGTCCAATTCCTTCAGTTTCACGTCCCATCCATTCCTCTGGGATCCACGTAGAACAATTATTCTCATCTGGTCTAGAATTTGCTGTCGCTTCAGCGCCGTCTCGGAAGCTTTCGGTCAGGAAGTTGAGATTCTGATGCAGATTAATGTGGTAAACCACGGCGTCTGCCATGACCTGCTGTGCATTCTTGTTGTAATCGACTGTGATGCTGCCTTCTTCGTAGTCTCCAGCCAGGTGCATGAGGGCATACAGGCGATCATGACCCTTGGATACTTGCATACCACCAGACCTAGTAAGGAGAACGACAAGATCATGTTTCAGCCTCTGATCGCCATGAATAGCAAACATCTCGATAGCACTCGGGCCGAAAATATTTCCTTTCAACTCTAGTAGGCCATCGTTACCGGAGTGATTAAGTTGACCAACGGACCTGACGATCTTGTCGACTACAATTTCCTGAAATTCTGCAACAGCAATACCGTTGAAGGTAACGTTCATGCAGTGTAGCGTAAGTCGTCGTGCGTTGAGAACTTCTTGCTGTCTGCCCGGATTCAGGTCACTGTATCAGCCGATATCCCCTTCAATGAGGCAAACGTTGATACACTTACATCCATATACGGCTCCAATAGTCGTTCTGGAACATTGGGATCAAAGGCCCCCAAAACCCATAATCTTTGCCCAACCCATTATTTTCCATCTTTGCATTGGGTCTGAAGCGTTTCAGAGCTGCTACAGCCGCACTCTTCTCGTCGAGAGATGGTTCATTGATCCAGATGCGCACACATGTTGCGTTGCGATAGATAGCTCGCATCATAGCGACTTGCTCAGCTCGTTCATTAAGATTATTCTGATCGATACATATGGCGTCGACCCATATTCTTAGTGGCCTAGATCCTCGGGAGTCGCGGATATATTCTAACGCCCGGGCCAGATTCCATGCGATCGGTATGAAAGCCTTGTGGCAACACTCATATGAGGAACGAGAAACCAGGTTCAGGCCACACCACCGCTTTCTTTCAGATTTCCGGGGCGCAGCGGAAGCGGTGCTGGCCACGACTATTTGGTCGGCCTGCGTAGCATCGCCCCACATGTACGAAAGCGCGTCGAATTTGTAGCCACTGTCAATGTTGACCTCAGTGAAGTTCCCCTGGAAGGAATCTGATCGTCGACCAGGCTGGAGCTCGAGGATGCGGATGCAGCGGGGTTCGAGAGGCTCGTAGGGAAAGCGGGGCAGTGGGTCTGCGCTTGCGTCTCCTGAGCGAAGCTGGCAGTAGCGTCGGCCCTCCTCTTCAGAGTTATCGTGAATCATTTCGCAGGGTCGGTGCGATGGAACATGAAAATTTTGCTCGATGTCAGAGTATAAGATAAGTAGAATGAGTGTTGAAGATGCAAGGAAAAAGATAGCTGGCTTGTCAGCATGTGGGCAGGTGTGCGGGGTCAAGCGAAGCCACGCCTGATGAGACGAGGCTGAGAGAAAAGAAGTAGTTCTCGCGCGCGTGGCAAATGTTATATCGGAAACATTGACTACTGATAAAGGTCAAGCTACTTACTTAGCTACAGCGCGCCTTCCAATACTCCATGTCTAAAGTCGCTTATTGCTCTTCCAATGAGCAAGAAGGTCTAGCAGGCATCTTGACCAATACCAGATGAGAGCAGGATGTGGCAAGCTAGTCCACTTTAGATCAGCAGACCCACAACGAGGCTTGTAGCCAATAAGAGGCTTAGAAACAGGGCTAAAAGCAGCTTATTGGCAGAGCAATATACGATTTTAGACATGGAGTATAGCTCATGTCAAGTCAACTTTGCGACACGTAGTCCACAATTTTTCAAGGGCACGGATGACGAATCTCACGGAGACTATCTCGCATCATTGTCCCCAGATACGCTGATACAGGTACGGCTCGTGAGGCTATCGACCTCTGGAGTTGCAATACCAACGCGCTCTCAAGATCGTCAATGCCGTCCTCGTCGAGGTTGATATCGAGCACGAATCACTGTTGCGAGACTACAGCCCTGAATATTACCATGAATGAGACTAGATACGGCAGCGATTAGATACATGTGGTATGCAAATGACGGGCTACCGACTAGTAGGTAGCCAGACACTCCCAAATACCGGGTTTAGAAAACATCGCCCTGATCGGCATCTCGACCTGGTACTTTCCGTCTGCTGTACTTCTGATCTTTGCGTAACCCTCCTCAGCTATGACCTCACCCTTGTCAAAGTCAGAGTCAGAATCAGACCCCGCCTCATCGTCGCCGTCGACAAATGGAATGTCACTGCTCCCAAACATGCTTCTGGCCAGGGCCTTGAGCGGCGCATCCTCTTCTACCTTCTTGGCGTCTTTCCCGTGGTACTTCTGTCCCAAGTGTTTGTCGACTATTTCCGTGCCTCTGAGCGAGGAGACTGAGCCATAATGCTCAAGGAAGAAGTTCCGTCGGCGACAGCGCCCACAGCGTTTTTCGATGTGAGTTTTCTCTTTTAGGCACTCCGCGCGGAGGCCTACCAACAGTAGGTCCATTTCGCGGTCGCGATATACGTCGTTCAAGGAATGGTGATGATGAATTTTCGACAGCACGGCACTTTTATGCATATCTTCAGATTCCCAATTCTCGTAAAAGCCAAACAGCTGACAAGTGTTGCTAGCGATTAGCTGCCAAGCTACCGTCAAGTGATTGCGAGAAAATTGCTGTGCCAGACACTCGTCGCCGACCCAGACCTTGCGGCCTTTGTGCGGCTCGTTGTATTCGTGGTTCGAAGGTTTGCGAATGGCTTCCTGGATGCAGGTCCATACTTTTCGAAGCTGTGGTGCGAACTCTAGGTCATCTAAATCAATTTTGCCACGCCTGTCTTCGTATTCCGCGGCCAGCTTGAGGACATGCAAGCTTATGCCTGGATGCGGGTCGTACATGAGCGGCTCAAGGATAGGGTCTCCGGCCAGTTCCAATAGAATGTCTTTCCAGATATTTCCGCAGATCATGTACATCGAGATCCAGTCGAAGTACACATTCTGCATCTCGCCTTCTATGAAGAGAGACAAATCGCGAAGCAGCACAGGAGAGCCCTCTGCCGGAACGTCCTCGAACAGTCGAACGATTCGGCGAGTGTCAATCTCACTTTCAACCCAATCCGGTGATGCGCCCAACTGGCGTGCTAGTTTCCCTTGTTTGGCTTTGTCGCACAGCAAGGCATTGAGGTTACCGGCAAGCTCGTCCACAGACTCGTTGGTGTGGTCGCTCCATCCGGTCATCCGATCCTCCAGAACCGGACTTAATATGCTCGTCTTCTGGAACATACGGTTTGTGTTTTTCGCCTCGGATTTTCCACGGCCGTTCGCGCGCGGCAGTTTGTTGCCATAAGCAAGGTTGAGTTTGCGATATGCCTCGTCAAGGGACTTGGGTTTCCCGCCGTAGAAGACGTGATTTGGATCTTGGGAGTAGAGGACGTATTCCATGTCAGGCCAAGCAGGATCGTCCGGATAAAGCAGTTTTCCCTAAAGGTTTTCGTTAGCATTTTCCTTTAGTCCATGCTACTATGTGTATCGTTGGAAATTCTAGACCATTTGAATGAAGACAGTTATGGCTTTCTGAATTGTAGGCTCCCATTAACCTTGAAGAGAACCCTAGAACTCGAAGAGAACGATCCCACCTCATACAAGAAAAAAACTGAACAGGTCTAGAGCCTACATCAACGCTAAGCCACCTATCTTGTAGGATTTTAAGTTGATGTAGGCTGCAGGCCTGTTCAGTTCTTTTCTTGGTTGGCGTGATCCGACAAGACTAGCTTACGTACCGCAGTGTATATATGACCCAGGACGCACACAAAGCCACTGAGCTTCTCGGTGTAGAACCCGCAATCATGTAGTTGGAGGTAGAAATCGTACTTGATCAAACCGCAACGTATGGGATTGTACTTGACGGCAGGAATGTCGGCGTGCTCCACAAGCTGGTGATACACTTGCAGGGTATCATTACACACCTCGCGTTGAAGCCCACATGGAGTACCGGGTCCATAAAACGTCTTGAATGGGGCCTCCCAATCATAGAACTTCCACCATAATTCCATCTCATCACGATGACACACTCGAATGTTATTGAACGGGACATTGTTGCCCTCGCCCTCGCCCATTCGAAAGTCCATGATGTCCTGGATGTCGAGAAGGGTATGGATGCCAAACGTCACCCAGATAGGGATGACTTTATCTGTGAACATCAATTTCATACCGCGAGTGACCTGGACAATACATAAAGTCAGTGTGTGACTCATGCAGTTCCTACTGAAAGCCTCTTACTTCATCTTGTGCCCAGAACCGATTCTGGTTTGAGGTGTATACTCGGAACTCTTTGGCAAGTTTGAACGTCCGCATGATGTCCGTGACCGAATCCGCACCAATTGCTTGAAGCTCCTCTTCGTTAGCGTCAAGATACGGGAATTTCTTGACACGGTTCACACAGAATCGCAGACCTGTGTAGACGGGCCAGAAACACCAGTTAGCGTGAAGTTTATCGTAGTCGTCCTTGTTTGCCTTGACGGTAACATCCGAGGGGACCACTAAGTTCTGAATACTGACACCATCTGGCAACGGTCGGTAATGGTGATATAGGAGCGCAGGGAGGCACCACACAGGGAACTTTGATGCTGGGTATTTCGAGGGACGCTTAAGAAGAAGGTCCAGTTCGCCCTCAGCCCGTCTGACAAGATCTATCGCGGTATTGCTGAGGAGACTCGACAAAATGTAGTCCCGAGTAAAGTCCGTTGATTTGAACCAGGAATCTTGTACCACCTCTTGAATTTCATGGACCCCTTTGAGAAACAGATGTATTGCGAAAAAGAACTCCTCTTCGGCGTCTTCGTCACTCTGCTCGATCTCCGCTGCGACAACCGGCGGTAACTTGGGTTCTGGTTTCACATCCTCTGTTGACAAGGTGTCGGCAGCTTCTTCGACCGGCAGCTTCGTAAATCGATTATGGACACCATCGCTCTTCTCTGGCTTGGTGACTTTGGTGACAGGAGCTAAAGGGCGCAAGATTTCCTGAACTCGTGACAGTATGTTGATGAAGTGATGATGTCCTTCATCTGCAAGTTGATTTGATCCGTAATAAGCTTGTGCCTCTTTTCTAGCTTTGATAGCTCTACCAAACACTGTCAGCAGTGGAGATGGTACTTTGACTTTCTTGACTTGTTTTGCGATAGCCTCGGCGATAGGTACGAAGTCGACGGTCCTGATGTGATATTCAGAGGGCTGCTTTTTGGCAGCCTCTTTGGCCTTCTTCCTATCTTTGCCTTTTAGGCGTTAAGACTCTGACGACGCAGACGCCTGTATACTACTGAGACTGAAACCGATCTTTTTTGAGGCTTCCACTAGCCAACCGGCAATGTATGCTTTTGTCGTGTGAGCTGCTTTAACCTGGTGGCTTTAAGCATGGTAAAAGACGCACCTGTATCCTTCTTGTATTGGCGATAGGTCGCCGAGAGAAACCCATGATCCAGAGTCGTCGACATCTTGCAGAAATGAGAGAGCGAAGAGCGCGGGTGGGTAAAGAGTCGTGGAACATCAATGGTTGAAGCTGCTGTTTCGAATGAGCGGAGTAGCGGGACTTCGGATGGACCAAGCGTCAAGTGGAGCTCCCGGCATGCTAATTCGCTCGATCAGTGGATACCAAGGATCCTTCCTGTTTTGGAGCCGGCAATTAGATCAGACGTGCGCGTAGTGGTAGGTGGTTTATCAAATCGGTGATGCTTCTTATTCGAGAGGATTCAATTGCATGAGCGTGGTATGAGTGTCGGAAACTGCAAGTCTTTTCTGCGAAAGGTCGTCGCAGTACCACGAGATGGGCAGGGCCATTGAAGACAAGCCCCCAACTACCTAGACCTTGAAAGCCTTCGGACTTTTCAGAGACAGCAGATGCAACCAGGGCCGAGTGAGCCAAGAGCTGGACTTGGTACAGAGTAGACAGAATACTGGAGATGCACTGGACAGAGAACATTGAAGGCTGGCGCCGTTAGCGTGTCCGTGAGGGTGCGGGGTTAGGCGAATCTCGGGCATGCAAGGCAACCTTGGAATGCAGTGAGTAGATGATCGCTACCTTCCTCCAAACACTATGCTCATACGACCCAAATGGATGTGCACATAAAATTATGGAGGTACTCGGACCTGCGTGATGGCCTCGGTGGAGGTTTACATGCCGCGACTTGCCGCAGCTAATTAAAAAAAAAGGCGGCACCTAGGTAGGCACAGGTTACTCTAGGAACTTCTCATTCGCCTTCGACGGAGATCTTTTGACAGGTAGACACATCCCCGAATGCTGTATGCATTGCGTGGTCTGCTCTTCTAGTGGGCGAGCTGCTCGCATCGTTCCGAGGTCTTCATCTACTGGGCAGCGTGGTGTACAACCTGCCCAGGTGTACTCACCTATGTGAGTCTGATCCATCGAGTACTACACACTATGTTAGTGTTTTAAAGCTGACATCTAGGCTTTCACAGATCGGTCACATGTGTCCTATTCACGGAGTAGAATCGGATCGTGTCCAAAGAGTGGCAGCTGAGCACTCAGCCTCCGCATCTTCCCCACATCTCACTAGAGTCTTACCTCACCCGAGAAGTGACTTCTACAGCTATACTTTACGTCATCCATTGTTCAAATCACGGAAAATTCAGAAGTAAGAGCTTCAGAACCAAAATAGAGACGGCTCTTCGGAATTTTGACCCATCATCAAGAGGCTGATAGCTGAGCGGTGGTGGCTGATGTATGCTTAGCTCCGTCGCACACGAGCTGCATCAAACCAGAAGCTGCACGCGTATTACACATCTTGGACTTTGGTATCGGTGTGCTGCTATGTGTGGTAACATCGGCTGGTTGTGTAGACGGTCGCCTGACCGCACCTTTCGCGGTTTTCGTCTCGGCGGACAAGATGCCTCCACCGAACCGAGATATTACGGGAGAACTATCGGATCGATTCCTTGAATTACTCGAAAGCCAACATGAGCTGAGCGCAGTACCATCTCACGAACCTAAGGTCTCCTGAAAGCCACTCTTACGATACTATGTGGAGGCACTGCTGAAGGTGGATGATCATAAGCATCACGAGTAAGACTAGAGACGTGTGAAGTATAAGAAGATGAGCCGTCTTCGCTTTAAACAAAAGCATTTCATCACACAACCGAAACCAGAACAAGCTCTGTCCAACCAGCACTCACTACAACATCCTCCACCATATTGCCAAACAAATCTCACCATGAAGGCCTCAATCATCCTCGCATCCGCTGCGACTCTCTTCGCCTCCGTTCTCGCAGCTCCATCTATCGCCCGCAATACATCCCTCTTCTTCACCGTTCAGCTCGCCAACGAACAGAGCGGTAGGAACGCCAACCGCGATGTCATCGTTGGCAACGGCGCTATAACGCTCGGCCACCTCTTCGGTGATGATTTCGGGCCCCAGGTTTTCGCCACTTCGCTCCAGGCTGTTACCCCGGGTACTGGCGGAAACAACGTCCAATGCGAAGTCAAGAACCCCAACTACCCTGGACAGACCTTTGCGCTCAACGCATGGAACACTTTTATCGACCTTGATGGGAATCATAACGCTGCTATCCCAACTGACGTTACATCGTTCACCATCGAGTGCAAGGTCTAAACGTCCTCTCGTATACCGCTTAGCAGTATACCGGCGCCGTTTGACGGGGCATACGAAGCGAGGTGTCCAGCGAAAACTTTCCTTTCTTTGTTTGATGTATTTGGAAAGTGATTTAGGTATATTATCTTGGTGTTTAACAGTGGTGTATACATTCCTTCGTCTGTGTTATGGGAAGTAGCAAAGCTTCAATAGCTAATATCACTCGTTTGTGGAGGCACAACGTGGCTCACGCTGACGCACCTTCAAAACAGCGTTGCTGCATACATACGCATGGTCGAGTATGCTGAAGACAGGAAACTAGGTGACACAAGACCCAAAGTTGAGCAAACATACAAAGTCTCATTCAGACCGTCGTACTTCACTATCACAACGCTATGCCAAAAAGACCAAAGTCCAAGAACGCCTTCCTTGCTCTAAGCACATTTTGCCTCACCTACTTGGGCCACGCCCTCTCCCTCTGCCCCGTCCTCCTCTAGCAGCCTTGTAAGGCCTCGGCACGGGTGATCCATCACGTGTTCTCTTCTCACCGATACGTGACGAGTATCTTTCCTCTCTCTTCATGTTTTCGCAAGCTTCTTCCTGTTCACGGGTCCCCGTAGAATGATTGTGGACCTCACACCACTGCTGCCGTACTGCCCCATCGCCTCCCGTAGTAAATGGATCGCGAACGTAGCAAATCCCGAAGAGGAGTTTGGCGACTGCGCGGACCCTTGACTTGACACTTGGGTGCGTGTTCATGAACATGTCCCAACTGCCATAGTGTTGCGTTCCCCAGGAGAAACTGTATAGTATCACTACCCAGCGACAAAGTGGGGCATGCGTTGGGAGGTACTCAAAAGCGCGGACGACGTTTTCTATGCTAGGCAGCTCTCCGGTCTCGTGGTAGTTCGTGTTCTGGAAGCGAAGCAAAACAGTATAAGCCGAGTGGTACTCCTTACGCAGATACGTGACTATGTAAAGAGTGAAGAGGTTCTGGTAGTATTGGTCGACAGTCAAGCGGTGTTTGCCAAACGGCTCGACCCTGCCGTGTTTATCCAAGAGGCTGTACATCGCAAAGATGACGGATTTGACCTTGGGGTTACTGTAGTCTTGAAAGAGATTGATCTGCTCAGCGAATTCCATCATATCCAGGCCAGGATCCCCGCTTATTGGAGTATGAACATTATTCTCTTCATCGTTGAACCGCCTTCCATTGGCCGCCGTCATTCTCGATACTAGCGATCCTGGTGTGGCGTTCATCAATGGTGGCGTATCTACCGTTTCACCTCGGTGATGGATGTTCCGTGTATCGAGCCTGAGTGCCGCTGGTCCTGTTGGTGTGCTCGGAGGGGGTTTTACGGCGGCGGGAAGGTCGCAATGTTGATGCCTGAGCCGGCAGTTTTGGCAAGTGTGACCGAAATCTATGTGGGCTAGGTTCCCAAGCTGCGGCAAGTAGACTCTGCACTGATGGCCATATTCCGCACACTGACTGCATCCTCCATCGTCAGCCGCCTTGCCATGGTAATGTTGAATCGCTCGCGCATGAGCGATTTCAAACTTCCGCGCATAAGTCAGACGATCCCAATCGCCTACTGGATAGTGATAACCGAATTCATCATCGGAGGGCGGGTCCAAGACGTATGCGGCAAAGTCTTCGATGTGCTTGACAGGGTCTGGTCTAAATGGCGTCGCGGCGTCGCTATCCGTCATCCGCCTTGCGCGCTTTCTGGATATATTTGGGCCGGACTTCAATTCCATCAGCGCCCACGGGTATGTCTTTCGGAGACTGCTTTCCAGCTCAGGATTCTCGCTAATTTCAGTCTCTTCAACCTCGATGATCATTTGCTTGACTCCTCTGGGCTTCTCTGTCGCATGAGCCTCACGAGCTCTGTCCTCTTCGGCTTTGGTTTTGGGTGTTACTATAGTGACGCCGGGGTAGTCGTCTTGTAACCGTTGGCGCAACTCTGTTGTCAGATCTTCTTCGCTTACAGTGAAGCTGACGTCTTTGACACACGGCGGGATGCTGGACTTCCTGAATGTCTCCCATGACGGAGTCTGGAGTCCATTATCCGGCTCAGGGAGGTCAGCAGCAGTATCCTGCGTCTGTGAGCCCAGAACAGAGTCGCGGTCATCGATGTGAACACCTTCGTCAACTTCGGCCAAGTCTTTCTTGCGCTGATCAGGCTCCTTTGCCAACTCCTTCAAAAACGCGGCCGAAGCGGCAACAAAGTCTAACACCATATTCTCCGGGCTGACGTCACAGCTTCCCAGCGAATCTCCATTCTCGTCTCTAAGCTGAAGTTCCAGCTTTTGATATCTGAACATGTTAGTTCTGGGGTAGGAAATGTGATGGGTATACCCACAATCTTGGCTGCTCGCTAGGCGCATTGCTATGCTCGACAGCGCGAATGGCGCGTAGGATTTCGCACTCTTTCGCCGTCAAAGCGAACTGATAGGTTGGCTCATTCACGGCCATGCTGAACGACAGCGGGCCCTAAGGTGGGGTTGATATTGATCCCTGGATGTTGCTTGTCTTAGACTTTGTTGCGCGTAGACGTTGCTTGTTTTAGATTTAGTTTAGTCCTTGATGGACCGCGAAAAATCGTTCTCGCACAACCGAGACCCAACGTGGGGTACGGAGCACCACAATCTGGTCTGCACGAGACACTGAGATTGCCAGTGTAAAACAATGTCTTGTACAGGCTGTCAAACCGTCGGATGTTCCTCGGGCGGTAGAGACGAGCACGTATCGGCAAGTCGCGTCTCTAGGTGCCCGTGGTTGCTTCTGCTGGCTTCCCGCGCCAATCAGGAAGTTTCCGGGACAATCGGTCGTTGACGGAAAAACAATGCTGCATCAGACAGGCGCAAGCTGATGGAGATCTAGCGATAGCATCAGCAGATGCAATGAAGGGGCAAAAGGTTGGGTGAGCTGATGGCCAAAGGGTTGGAACGCGTCTTCGAGAGGAGTTCGCGAACCTTCCGAGGTTTAGCGCGTCCTAATCTTGGTTAAACCGATTATGCGCCGGCCCCACCACCGTCCCGCAGTGGCCCCCTTGTGTCGCCAATAGACTCGACACCTACATCTCATCGGCCATGTATGCTGTCGTTATATGAGCGCGCAAAGATACACTTGAGTTGTCTCTGGCTTCAGGCTTCGATGCACAATTACAGTGGCTATGCCGCGCCGAGCATTCACTTCGACATTCGCGCGGGATCGGGGTAACAGCACAGCATCCAGCCGCCTCGCAAATTAAGGTAAGCGCGTCTTGATGAAGCAGTTTGCGATGAAAACATTGACAAAGAAGTGATGATATGTACAGATATATCCAAGAAAAAAGAAAAAAACTTATTTACAAGAAAGTATGATCCGCACAGCGCCTTCCCATCTGTTCACCAATCCAGCTTCAATTGCTTGGACAAAGCCGGACGCTGCCCGAAAAGGCGAATCAGGTTAGCCAGAGCATGTGCCAGCCTTCTTGGGCTCGCAGCCACCAGCACAACCAGTGTACATCTGGCACTTGGTTTTCGCATCAGAGCAGACGTTCTTGAGGGTAGCAGTGTCCCCGTAGTTGCTGTTAATACCAGCCAGCTCACCACCGTTGACCGCGGTCACGCCCTCGATGTAGACGTTGCGCTTGCATTGCTTAGAGCACTAGGATCGTGTAAGCGGATGTTCAGGAACCTGATCTTGATGATTGAAATCACTTACGTTTCCGCAAGAGCGGTAGAGCTTGCCGTAATCGTTGACATAGAAGTTGACGATGTTCACAGTTCCACATCCGTTGTGCTGAACGACTTTGTCGGATGCGTGGTAGGCGCCGCCACCGATGATCCAGGACTCCTTTCCAGCCTTGTCTTCTTTGATGGAGATGGCATCCTCGCAAACATCTTCAAACCAAACGAACTCAAGAGTGCAGTGGCCTTGGCAATGCACACCTTCCGCCTAAACATGTCTTAGTATGTATCTACTTCAGGACTTGACCTGACACTTACCTGGTTCTTGCCGATGATCACGTTGCGCAGCGTGGCGCCTTCTTTGAGCAGGAAGACGGCGTCGGCAGCACCGCCCTCAGACTGACCAGAGCAAGCACCGCTACCACGGTCGAATCGGTACCACTGGCCATCGTAGGTTTGACCAGCAGCGACCTCAATGACCTTGCTATTGGTCTTGGTACCAACGGCTTTAGGGACACCTCCAGCGTAACCATTGCATCCAAGGGCAACAGGGAGGAGGGCCGTGGCCGCAGCGAGGATGCCTGCAAACTTCATGGTAAAGGATGGTGTTCGGGTTAAGAAAAAAGTGATCGAAAGCGGAAGCTGGAATAGACGAAATGATAGAAGGAATGCTACTGGAGCCTTGGATATCGGGATGCTTCTGGTTGAATGACAGAACCTTACCCGGTGGGATGTTCGCCGTTACTTATAGAGAGTTGAACTCCTTCTCTCTGCTCTTTCCATAGCACGCTCAGGCACCTTTGCCATGCCTTCTGCACTGCTAACTTCGCACCCTCAACTTAAGTCGTCTTACCGCATTAGGACTTTCCTCCTTAATCTTTCCACGCTCATTCGCGGACTTCTGTATCGATCCTGCCGCACGTCTTTCCGCCCGAGTCGCGCCATTGCCAAGACTTGTTACGGAAGCTTGGTGTAGAAGGATGCGCTTTGGAAGCGCACATCGGATAGTACCACGTGGTTTTGGTATGGTGATTGCACAAGTGAAACGTCCAGCAAACTCCGCCATGCGTTGGCACTTGCATTATTAGGGCGACAGTGACATGCCATAGCGCAATGCTTAGCGCTGCAATCCTCCTCTCATTTCCTCTTCCATCATTACTTCCGCCAACTAGCATTTCGCCGGTTCTGTTCTGTATGTCCGCTCTTGGTTTATTGGGGTACTATCGATAGTGGAAATACCACACGACTTGGTGTTTCCAGAGGGTTATGTTCCCCGCAGTATGACGGAGAATAGCGGAAAGTTGTGCGCTCTGAAGCTGTCCTGGTCACCGATATCAGCAAACCATCACCAGTAGCATGCCAGCCTTCCGACTCTGCTACTTAATCTACGGGCAACTGATCACAGTCAAATGCTGGCTTTGACCCTTCCTCCCTAGAGACACCGCACGGATACAGCCTAGGAAACTGGGCTAGCGATGGGAATCCCGCTTGCGGCGGGCCCTGACAAACTAGGAAACACCGTCAAGAACGGTGTCTTGGTATGCATAAGACAACTCGAACTGTCGTTCATAGGGACGCTGCGAAGGAACCCGGCTCTCAACAAATCAAAAATCACGCTGTTCATTGACGACGTCGCTTAGAATCGGCCTGATGAGCAATACTTTCTCCGCAGCTCATGTTGCACGACTGCGACTGTATGAGAAAGACCATGACGCAGTAATAGGCTGCGGAGATTATTTAGCAAAGGCGCAGGATTCTGATGGGTACCGAAGGATGATGTCCTCCACCTTGTGGATACTGATCAGTAAACAGGTGAGAATTCCAAGACCAGGAGTTTCATGCGTTAATCAGAAGGACTCAAGGGTGTCGGAAAGACCGATCGATTGCAGAGTGGAAGATGCATTCTTCGTTAACTCATGCAGTGCACCACGCGATACAAGCCAAGCTCTTTACTTGCAAGGCGCGGGATAGCTACGCTGACTGGTGGACCTCGGGAGTGTTCAAGAAACGTTAATATGGGGTACATACTGGAGTACATGGTGGCGTGCATGCAGAGCGCATCGGCAGTGCGACGGCTTTGAAAACCCCGGATTTCGGAGAAAGCACTGCATCCTTTAGGAGAGGGGATGGTTGGGGTGTATAATTGCTCAGGTGTGGGACAATATGACAGACGCGCGAGCGATTCCACCAATCAGCGTCATGCACCTCCGCCCTACACAACTCTGCCGTTTACGATCGTCTCTCGCTGGCAGGCACCTTCAACTTGATGCTGAGTTTGCACTTTCCATTGTCATCCAAAGCGCACTTACTCAATTCGTGGGTACCCAACTTGTTGTGAAAAGTGGCTCAGCTTGGGCATTGGCACAGGTGCGTGCCTTAGCGGGGTCAACGCACCCAAGAACCTCCAGCGACTCTTCTTCATCCTTCTTTCTAAGACATTCGAAGCTGGAGTGGAGGGAGAGACCCCAACCTCACCTCTACAGTCACATGCCCCGCGACGGTTCATCTTCCGAACGTACTCCAATGTCTCATGTCAAAGGGTTTTACTAGAGACCCAAACGTGGCGTTGGCATATGGAAAAGAGGAGATTGAAGGCATCGTTATCCGGTTACCCGTTGTGCCCAGAAATGCACATACACGCCTATTCAAGACCAAATTCTAACCCCAAGCTCGGCGCAAGGGTCAGAGTGCAGTCTTACTTTGTAGGTCCGCAGTATTCCTAACTTTGGTATAGCAGCTTTGGTTCAGGGCCGTATTGAGCCAGGAAACCGTAAGCATCCACCCTCACCCATCCACTATTGGCGACCAGCCTCAATTTCGTGATGTTTGCAGCCGAGTTGTCGCTGTACGCAGCGCGTGGATTAGATATTATCACCAGAGGTTTGAGCGGCGTAAAACTGTGCCTTTGCTCTTGTGTCGTCTTGCGCAGCCTCGACTTTACATTATATCTTCGCGTTCTGTTGAGATAAGGACGAATCGAGGGGCAGCAATCCCATGGTTGGTGAATACCAGGGCTTCTACGCACCGCATACCCACAATAAACGATTTCGGAAGTTGTACAGACATGGGATGCACTTGAAATCTCACCCACGGTACTCATGATGCGGAGTTTAATGGTCATGCAGGATCACCCAGTCAACCAGTCGTCTTCTGTGCGCACGTCGATTGTAAACAACACTCCTCTTCTCACACCTATTGAGACACTGGCCAGGGATTAACATCACAAATATGCCATTCAACTTCACATCATCCCTTTCAAAGTTCGTGCATGTCTTCTTTGAGAGTCCAGTAGGTCACTGACAGTACACAGTAACCCGGACCATTTAGTATCCAGCCTACGAGAGCTGAGGACGTCGCATATAGCAGCCCTTCCAACTGCATCCCAGGATGAAACATGCTGCATCTGCCTACATCTATACGATCCTTCTCACGAAGCCGTCACTGTGCTCATAACAGGCTGCTACCATCGCTTTGGCCGCAAATGTCTCGCAGACTACCTCGACAGCGAAAGCCCACGTAACAACAGTTGTCCCCAATGTCGACGAGAATGGTACAAACGACCACCTGCCTGGACGGCGCCACGAGACGTCAATGTCACGGAGAGTTTGCTAGGTTTGACCTTACCACAAGAGCCGGCGCTAGTCGAATCACGAGCGAGAGCTCATCGAACGCGAAACATCTTGGAGCAAGAACGGGCGTCGAACAACGGAGTCATCAGTAGCCATTTAGATGAGATCTTCCGGAGACTGGATCTGATTCAGAACATCAGTAGCGAGCAACACACTTCCACGGCAGATACGCGGGTGCGTCTTCAAGCGATTGAGCGCCGCGCCCGGAGACTTCATCGAGAGCTTCAGTCTGCACATGAGAACAGTAGAAGGCTACAGACGTCATTGAACGAACGTGAGGCATTGTTAAGACACCAGGAAAGAGAATTACAGCAACGTGAGGAAGAGATCAGGCGGCAAGACAGAGTTACTAGGGAACTTGACTTCCTCAGACGAATGGACTTGGGAAGAAGACTTGGACCCGGGATTTGCGATGCCCAGTACTCTATGGCGAGCAGCGCAGATACTAGGCTGACATCTTCACCTACGGTTCCTACGTCAGATGAGAGCCCAGAGTCCGCCAATGTGTCTGCAAACACTAGGGAGGATGCTCACCAGCCACCTGCATCACCACAATCCGAAGACCCGATAAGCGCTCATCAATACAACGCGTACTTACAGCACATCAGTCTGTCAAACGACGACCCGCCAGTAATTCCGGAAAATCGAGAATCTTCTACCCCCGGTATGCCTGTCACACGTACAGAAAGAGATGAGCCTGTCGCATACAGAGACGACGTGTGGACACGATCATACGAGTTGACAAACCGGCCCCACCGCAGATTTCATGGCATTGACCATACCGAAGCTTTTGGACGAATGACTAGAGCCCTGGAAAACTATTGTGAAAGCTTAAATCCTGGGTCGACACAACCAGTTACCGCCCCCACATCAACGCCTCCCCCGGTATCTCTTCGACAGCCGCAACTTCGCACGAGCCCTAATAGCGTTTCGAATAGACAAGAAGTGCCGGTAGATGCTGGGCCTTTTGTATCTCTCGATCCACGGAGAAATGCAGGCTACTGGCCGACGAGACTGAACTGAAGGGCGGCTTCACAAGTTGCGCGGAAGACTGCATAGCGCAACTTCGCTGAGTGGAAACGAATATTGAAAATTTGGCAGTATTTATCGTGATGGGACTATATTCAGTGACATCGCACGACGAATGGGAGAACGGAGCGTCGTCGGAGAAATACTCCACTTACTGCCCGCGTAGATTTTCAATCAGAAGAGGCTATGTCTTGTATTCTACGTCCATGTGTACAATAGCATCTGTACTAGTCACTTCCCAAATTGTAATACAATGTAAGCAGTAACGCGACATGATTACCAACTGATTGCAGTGACGCCATGGAAGATGCACACTTCATGCCGATTTGCGCGAGCTTCAAAAAGACTTTATTGCGCAACTTTTGATTGCTTTCTTATTGTAGGTTGCTAACAATGACGAGGATTTGTGAGCACGTCTCCATATTCAACCAAGGTACAATAGACAACAGTATACAAACTTTTCATCGGCCAGTCAAAGCGTCCACACAACTCACCTTCACTACATAAATTCTCTGCCAACAATGACGTTTTCTCCTCGCTCACTTACTATTGTCTCTCGCTCTCAATAGCGCCAAGCTTTGTTACAGCCAAAGTCTTTTCTGATAACTCTGACTCTACTTCCTACTCTTTACTCTTTACTCCTTACTTCTTACTCTCTACTACCTACACACATTGCGAAGATCACCCACCCGGAACGAAAACCCACACTTCACCATGGCGCATCGGAGTGACAGCTCCTATCGTCAGTACCGCCTTAGCAGTACTTCTCCACCCCTTGGAGGCTCTGCGTTCCCACCTAATCTATTCGATCTCTCCGCCACTCCTTCAGCTCAACCTCTGCCAAACAACACCCAACAACAGTCCACGATGAGCGCCGCGTTCTTCTACCGCGACCACACAACCCCGGACACCACCCTCTCCGACCATGAAGAATGCTCAATCTGCCTTGACAACTACAAAACGGAGGAGTGTCTGCGCATCACCAGCATCCCACGTTGCAATCACCACATCGGCGCCAGTTGCCTTGACCGCATGCTGCGCAGCAACCCCCACGAGGAGAAGAAATGTCCCCTGTGCCGCGCAGTCTGGATCCCCGCGCACGTTCTGCCTTTCCCTCCGCGCAACCAGAGTCTGGGTACCTCACGGCGCATGGCAAACATGTTCGCAGGCGTTGACGGTATCGGTGCGGATATCGCTGGTAACGAGTTGATTGGCGCTGGCGCCATCTCACCTTTACCATTCAGTGCACCCTCATCGCCGGACCTTACACCCGCATCACCAGCATACGCGCCCACATCGCCAGTATACACACCCACATCCCCTACATTCCCAGCAAACCCGACATCCCCGACGTTTTCACCCACCTCACCAGGATACACACCAACATCGCCCACATTCCCAGCATACCCGACATCCCCGACGTTTTCACCCACTTCACCGGGATACTCTCCCACAACTCCCACGTTCCCGACATCGCCGACATACACGACTTCCACCCCACCACCCCACGGCAGCCCAGTCCCACCCTGGCGCGAAGAGCCCGAGGCTGCTCCAGTGCAGAACCAGCAGCTCAACCCCATCGTCATCGACTCTGATTCCGACGACGACGCAGGCTACGCCGTCCAGTTCCAGAACTTCGAGAATTTCAGACGCGATGTCGCTGATATACGGAGTCGAGCAAGAGAGACGCGCGGGGTGAGGAGTATCAGAAAGAGACGGGCCGCTACTGCTGCTGAGAGGGACCGTGTCAACGCCAGGAATGATGACAGCGGTAGTGCCTATTCGAGCGGTAACAGTGAGAACGCTGCTGCGAATGGTGAGACTGGTACCGCCAGGTCTCGCGCGTTGAACCGTCTTCTGGGTAACGGGAGGCACCCGTTTCAGCCTGCTGAGTACGCCGCTAGCGCTGGCGCTGGCGCGCCTCCTACTCCCATGAACGAGGTGTTGGAACAGCGCAGCGAGCCGCAGGAGCGACGTCTAGGAAGCGAGCTACGCCGTGCAAGGACGTTCGAGCAACCCGCCTCGCGAACTGCTGATCACGCGAGCGCCCGTCGTCGTCGAGCCCCAACACCGTACCGACAGACCCCGAGCCCAAACACCTCAGACACGCCGGTAGACCTTACCACAGATGAGCCTACCGAACTCTCCGCTATTCAGTCAGGTTCTGCGCGCGAAGCTGTTCGCAGCAGGCAGCTCGATCGCCGCGAAGCTTCATTGTCGCAAGCAAGCAAGTGCTTCTTGAGCGGCAATTAGCGCTGGTGAGGCGGGAGTCAGCGGTTGTGAGGCAGGAGGAAGCGGTTTCGACGCAGGAGGACAAAGCAAACGAGATGATGACGATGTTGAGGAGGCATAGAGAGGAGATGGAGGAGATGGTTAGGAGGCACAGTGAGGAGTATTATGAGTGACTTTTACACCGAGACCGTTGAGAGAGAGGAAATCATGACAAACGTCGGAATGTAGCCGATCTCACCGTATGGGAAACCAGGCTTGGTCCCAATGAAGCAGCGAATGAAAACATTGAAATTGAACTCTTGATTGCTGGTGGTATACATACAGATCCCACTTCGTCGAGCCATACTTGTACACCGACACGCATGCCGACAGGTATTCCCATTTCCTTTCTCTACGCCATAATCCCTGTTGTTATCGTAGACTCGAGAAACAAACGTCGGGAAAAAGCTCTTGCGTTCAGAATACACCACCGGAAAGGAAAGGTAGGCTCGAAGCCAAGCATCCCGAACGCCGAGCGCAGCTCTAGACTGGCGCGCTACAGTTATATCAAAGAAAGAAGAAAACGACCCGGTATATAATCGCCGTTGCAACGCCAGTGAAATGTTGCCCTCGCACACACCGTATATACACACAAACGGCGGACAGGTTACTGAAGGAAATGGATGAAGAAAGTCGTCATCGCCGACGAGGAATAATCGTGTTCGCGTGCATGAGGTGCGTAGCCAGCCCCATGATTCCCTGCCAATCCAGCCACCCAGCCCGAGAGGGAAAAGTCGAAATTTAGTTCTGGTAACCCGAGTTGCAATCCCCTGGGTGTGAGGATGCAATAATGACGTAACGCCAAGCGCCGTCCATGCGTTGTGACAGAGACGACGATGCGTCAAGGAGTAGGAGAGGAAGGAGAAGGTTGGGTAGATTACAAGGTCGTACGGGTAGAGCATCGTGATCGTCGGAGCTGCGCATGCCCCACGCTTTGCGTCATTGCCATGATGCAGAGTCATGACAATGGCGGTGTACACGTGTAACATGGTCAGGCAGCTTGTTTACTCCCAGTTACCTGACAACGTGAGTGACTGTCTCAGTACTTTGAAGGATACCGCCCGTTCTCTTGATCGTCGGGGCTAGAGTTCCTTTGGGGTTGGTATACGAACCGGTTCATCATCTGGCCTTGCTGCATCGGCATCATGTGTACGCCGTTGGGTTGCATCTGGGCGATGCCATATGGGTTTTGATGGCTAATATCGCTGCCGAGGAAGTTGTTCATAGCGGCGCCATGGAGGCCCTGAGCCTGCGACACTGGGCAGTCCTTGTGAGCTAGAAGAAGAGTCTTGAGGTTAACAATCTCTTCGCGAAGCTGAGTGACGGTAGCAGAGAGCGCGTCGTTCTCTGTACTAAAAAGTTCGACTTTAGCTTGGAGGTTGGCCAACCATTGCTTCTTGCGCTGTCGGCACTTGAGGGCAGCGACCCTGATACACGTTAGTAGCTTGAAGTTGGGATGGAGAGAAAAGACATACCTATTGCGCTCGAGGAAGTTCTTGCGCTTCTCCTCGTCGGTCATCTTGCGGCCCTTGCTGTCGTACTCCTCCTCCTTGATGTTGTTCTCGTCATCAGAGTCGCCGTCGTCCATGTCGTCGCCCATGGGCTGATTGGCGTTGCTCTTCTTTCTTGAGTTCTTGGGGCCGTCTTCAGCTTTGCGCTTGTTTCCGGCAGCTTGTTTGCCATTAGCGGCGCCCTTCTTCGCACGTGACCGTGTACCAGTCTTGTTTTGCTCACTCTGGCCGCTCTCTGAGAAGTCACCGGTCTCTGCAGATTGAACGCTGTTGATGGAACCCTTGGTGTCACGGCGGCCATGATTGGCGTTGACGGGTTGGACGGGCATGTGCCCGGCGTTCATCGATTGCTGTTGGGGGGCCATCGAGTAGGGTGGCTGGTTGTTGCGTGCAGCGCCGTTTTGGCTGGCAAAGGACAGCAGGTCGTTAGCGGCACTACTGACGTCATGGTTGGGATATGGTTCGTTCTGGGCGCGCTGTTGTGGCTGCTGCGCCTGCTGGTAGTTGTTGTTAGGGCGGTCCATTCCTGCGGTCGCGGTTTCGGGCTGCGATGTGGGCGCGTTGGAGGTGGCTTTGTTGTTGTTAGCTTGGTGTTGAGCAGCGGCGCGCAGAGCAGACTGCTGGAAGTCGGCAGTACCAGGTGTTACGCCAGCACTTTGGAGATTGAAGATGGCTTGGGTGTTCGGGCTAGGAGCTGGGAACATGGAACCACCGCCGCCAGGAGTAAGGCCGGTGCGGAGAGAGGATTCGTTCGGGGTTGGGAAGCCTCGGAATGACTCGCTAAAATAATCTGTCTGTCCAGTCGGCCCGCTCAGCATAGCAGGGCTCAAGGGTCCTGCGCGTAAGCCCTGCCACCCCGGTGTGATGCCCGGTAGGGGTGATGGTGACGTAATGTTCGCAACGGGCGGAAGAATAGGTCGGCCTCCGGGTGTCTGTAGAGTGCCAGACTCGCCGCCAAAGGACTGCTCGAAGACGTTTGGCTCGAGCGAGAAGGGGTTGTGGACGGTGTTGAAGTAGTCGGGAGTATCGCCAGTGGTCGAGGGCGCGGGCTTTGGTGGAGGCGCCAACGGCTGGGCATTGGTGGTTGCGGGTTTGGCAGCGTCTGCGTTGGTGGCCGCTTCCGTGGTCGCAGCTGGCTGTGGGTTAGCATCGTGTGCTGGTGGACGACGAGATGGATGCAAAGCGACAGTTGAGAGTCGACGGTGATGTTGGGACGGGACTACTTACGCTGTACCTTGGGCGACGACTCGGCTTTTACTGGCTCAGCTGATCACGGTGTTAGTAATGCTTGCATGTGCGATGATGTGACGGCGAGGATGACGACGATGCATGCGCGCGACGCAGGCAGGGAAAGGGGAGATGTGGGAAGCAGCAGCGGTGAGGGCTTCACGGGGCAGCAGCGACGGGGGCATACACACCTTCAGTCTTGGTGACGGTAGGGAGAGATGTTTTGATGTCCTTGGGAGAGGACATCTTGGAGGACGGGGAGGAGGTTCGAGCGGTTTGGGTTGCGGCTGCCATACTTTGGGGTGGTGACGTAGGGGTGGTGTCCTGGTCGATCGCTTGTGGTACCGGGCCTTGACCTCTCTTCGCTCGCTCGCTCACACGCACGCGATTCGGCTTCTCTCGACGGTTTTGGGCGCACACGGGCGACTCGAGCACAATAGCACCTGTGCTGTTCGGCGGAGCTGTCAGCGCACGGAATTACAGGTGCAGGCACGATGCGACGGGCTGGGTGCAGGCAGACGACGGGCGCAAAGGGCTGTCGCAGACGCTGGGAACGTGGCAAAGTCGGCAGCGCAGATAACAACAGCGCGGCAGCGGCAGGGCAGGGCAGGACGACACGACTACGTACCTCAGCAAAAGGAATCGAGCGCGGCAGATGCGGGGTCGAGCCGTCTCAATCCGATGAATATCGATATTGTTGACCGCCGGCTCTGTCGTCGCAAAGCTGGTGTCTGCTTGTCAAAACCAATAGTGACGTCAAGCCCCTGTGGTGACGCTCGCAGCCGTCGCAGTCTCTAAACCTACACTCGCGCTGACTCTGCACGACTCTAGGCAATCCGGGGCTGTGGAAGCGCGTGATGGATGTTCCTGATCTCAATGAGGCTCAAACCGGCGTTGACGGGGATTGTGCTCGTGGTGACGATGACAGTGAGGCGTTCGGCGATGAGGTCAGAGGACAGGACGAGCGAGCAATTTCTGGGAGTGACGCAGCTGTGCCAAGCGCATAACGTGATTTCTTGGGTTCGTAATCAAACCCGGCCGCTAGTCCTGTCTGAGGGCCAATCACTGCAGCCGAGGCCCCACCGCCTTCGCTGGTCCGCCGATCCGCAGCCCCTTTTGGCTCGCCTGCCACGAGACGCTTTCCGGCACTGGTCCCGTCGAAGCACCCCAGCCTTCCATTCACTGCAAGGACTATTCCCGCCCACCGCGTTTTCCTCTCCTCCAGCACGCTGCGATAAGATACACTGAGGAGTTTGATAATGCATCGTTCACCATGACAGCATCGACGGCTGCTACCACTCCCATCCCTGCCTCTCCACCCGCAGGGAAGGAACCTCGAAGCTACTGGAGCCGATACTCTGCAACGGCCAGCGGATCTGATTCTGCCAGGTGCCGGTCCCGTTCCAGACCTCGATTCACGCATGTTTCGCCGATCTACATCGTCTACTCGCATCGGCCTAAAGTACCAGCCCTCGCGCGGACTTTGCGACCGCCTTCCTAATCATACCATGCGAAAGTTTCATCGTCTTCTTTTTCCCGATGCTCATCGAGATCGTGATGTCCATGTTGTTTAATGCAGCAAGCGTGGAATCAAAGAGTCGGATGTTTGGCATTCTGTAATCAACAAGTGGGCGGGTGGCAGGGCGATGCCAGCCTCCACACCCTAAAGACGTATCACGAACGTTAGGGACGACGGCTATTCCGCTTCCCCGTACCTTCTTGCTTCTTGCTGCTTGGTCGTATGGGTCTGGCTCATGCGAGCCACCAACTATCCGCACGTAGCGCATGAGCGTGCAGCAGGTGTAGAGCAAAGCTTAAATGTGACGTAGTTGTTGACCTTTGATCTCCACTGGCGTACAACACTGCTGTAGAGTCGTCTAGTCTCGCCAGACTTGCAAATTGAGGGTTACACTTCTGCTTCTTCTCCGTCAGAAGGGTGTTCTGACCTAGCTTCCATTTGAAACTCACACTATTGGTCATGCTTTTGGTCGCTACTACGACACCAATCGGATCCAACTCCATCTACACCGGAACATGCTTTTACTTCCAACAACACATGAGATTTGATAGCTTATGATACTATCAAATAGATTTGAATACCCGGATAGCTCGCGGTGTAGTTGAAACGACCTCGGGACATGGAAGAATGAACAATGTTGATCAAAGACAAATCAACTTCCAGGTACATACCATGTCAAAATGCTCAACGTGAGGGGTGTCTTCTTTTCTAAGGAAGGGACTTAT